TAGATTTTGTCTCTTCTTGTATAAAGTTGACATGTGCTAGGTGGTTGTTATTTGAAAGTGGGGCGTGTAAATAAGTAAAATCTGTTCTTTAACAATCCTGCCCATTTTCTTTAACACTTCTTCCCTAATTAACAGTTATTATTCTATTCATGGGTGCCAGCAGCAAGCTGATCATTTCTGGCTTTGATCAGGGTCACGTGGGAAGCCCAGATGGAATCTTTACCCCGGGGACCCGTGGTGGTTCTCCGCAGCCCTGAATCAAGGATGCCACAGCCCTCCGTTTGCAAGACCTCAGCAAGGCTGTTCACGAAAGGATGTTTTGGAGGTTGGTAATTCATGGGATCGCAATAAGTCAGAAGCAGCTTGATGGCACAACACACACACACAATTATGGGTATGGAAGAGTTGGTGAAAATGTCATTTCCAGTATCACAGAGAGGTAACACACCACCAAGAAGGAACTCTACCTCTGATTCCCCCACCCCCAGTGCTCTGGTATGCCTAGGCTGGAAATAACTGGATGCAACCTCCTCACATGCACACCAATACATATTGCAAAAAGGAATGTGTCTCTAACACTCTGCAGAAAGGACTTAATGGTGAAACGTACCCTTAATCCAATCCAAATGCAATATTTAATATCTATCTGCATGGTTATTCTGCAAAAATTAATAACTGTGCTAAAAAAAGAAAGAAAAGATGCTTCCTACCCCTTATTCAACAGTGATCTGGGTGCATTAATATTAGCATACAAAGGAAGAAAATAGGTCACAGACAGAACATGCTGGAGGCAAATCTGGCCTGAGAGTGCCTGGGCTTTGACTTTCAAGGAGTTCCTCTACACACTGGGAGGAGGGAGGAGCCTGTCACTCAGTGACTAATCCTTTTGCCACCACCTCACATAAACATGTTTTTAAACTCTTTGTGCAATCAGTAGGGAACACTATGTTCTCTTTGTCTTGAGCCTGATATACTTGTGAGAACAGAGGAACAATGCCAAGAAAAGCCACAGCTTATTCAGTTGCATGTGCAGCGAAGCAGTGTATGTTTACCAAGACTTATTATCTATCCTGTCCTCCCCCCATCCCTGAGAGAGAGGAAGCTCTCAGCTAAAACTAGGCCCAAACAGAGCAGCAGCTTCCTCCTGAAGGTTATTTTTAAAACATTTTGGTAACATATTGTTGCATCATTGTATTTTGTAGCCCCCCTCCCACTCTTGAATCAAGTCTGCTTGCCCTTTATTTAAACCAGTCAATTCATTTCCAAGTGTATACAGCTAACAGGCACCAATGGGAGGGCAGGCTTAACTCTCTCTTTTTTTTAGACATGCAGCCTCAAAAACAGCTGGAATAATCTTCTGGCTTTATTGAAACTGGCTCCCATATTGTCAAGCATTAATCCTTTCTTTTCTTAAAAGTCCTGGCTGTGTGGCATAAACAGAAGCTGTACAGCTCTTATCTACTGTTTTGGGGGCTCCTCCTCCTCCTTCTCCTCCTCCTCCTGTTGACACAAGATTCCTACAGCTATTGCACTTCATTTGAACTTAGTGATGAGACACAGAAAAGGAAAAGCTTAAGCAGGACAAATGTCTTGCAGATCTCTCCCCTGCCATCTTTTGCAGAGTTTGAGCTATGGGCCCGCTTTCTCTCCAATTGAAGTAAAGTCAACATTCCCAAAGGGGAATGCAACAGCAATATGGCGACCCTGTGGTCTGTGCTTCTGCCTCTGCCTGCCACTGAGGCAACATGTTTAGGGAATGTTAACTCCCCCAATATGCTCTTTCCTGTTCATCATTGAAAGACTATGGTTCCCAGGGGTCATTTCGTAGAAAAACGAAAGACTATGGTTCCATCCAATATGCTGTGTGAGCTGTTTGCCGTCATGATGAAGCTGAGGTGGAAATAAAGTTTAGGCAAATAGCCATCTGGACACAGGTTTGCCCCAGAATCATTCTCACCTCCTCTTGCTCCTGCTTCAGGAGTAGGATTGCCTGGTCCCTTCGTCATGCCGGCTGGGGTTGGGCGGTGTTCCGGGGTGGACGGGGACATCGCACGACAAGCTGACATCACTTGGAAGTGACATCAACACATTGGTGCTATCGGAGCCAATGCTCTGCTTTTGGGGCAAAACTCTATGGTAAAATGGCCTCCGACCATGACATCACTGATGTGCTGATGTCGCTTCCAGATGACATCAGTGTGTCGTGGGGGGAATTCAGGAGAGGGGACCACAAGTCACTCGGGCTTCTTCTGAACATTTAAAAGGCGTTCAAGATGGAAGAAATAAGCTGAAGTAGTTCAAGAGGATCTTGTGATCCCATGAAAGATAGGACTTCTATAACAGATGGTGGGTTGGCCGGCCAGACTGCTTTTTGAATGAAAAAAAAAGCCTAATTTCCCTCCACACCCCACAGCCCTTGTCCTGTGTGGCTTTTGTACATGCAGGCAGGGCTTTTTTTCTGGGGGAACACATTGGAACGGAGTTCCGGAAGCTCTTTGACAAAATTCTTTTTAAAATGTTTAAAAGTTCATGAGGTTTCAGTATACAGATTGAAGACTTCATTTTCCCCTTGAGAGTTTCGGCACCTCTTTTTCCAAAAGAAAGCCCTGCATGCAGATGCTATGATTCTTAGAATAGACTTTTTGTGGTTCCTGTCTCACCTGGAGAAAAACTGGTTGGGTCCAACTCAGTGTGTTTTAACCTTCTAACACTTAGATTTATAGTTCTGGCATCTCAGGTTACAGTGATGTAACAAAGGCAAGGCACTACCCTCAGGCACACAAAACTGAGCACCATAGAAAAAGTATATCATGACTAGAATAAACACTGCGTTACTATTACTATTGTTATTTATGTATTTACCTTTTTACCAAAATAACTACTATGAAAATGTAAGGGGCACAGTTTTATATTGTTGTCTTGGGGGCAAAATTAGCTAGTTATGGCTCTGAGTTCCCTACACCAGATCCACCTAGTTAGAAGTCTGAATTCCCTTCTGTCACATGGAGAGTATGCAGCCATAATTTATATTCTATCACTACTCAGCTAAAATGCTGTGATGACCTAACAGGGGCTTGATCTTGGAGACCATATGGACACTTCAGTAGAGACAAGTCATCACGTTAAGAGTGGTTAAGAGTGGCGGACTCTAATCTGCAGCCGGCAGGGTGACCTTGGGTCAGTCATAGTTCTCTCAGAGCTGTTCTCTCAAGAGCAGGTCTCTCAGAGCTCTCTCAGCCCCACCTACCTCACGGGATGTCTGTTGTGGGGCGGGGTATAAATCCAATCTCCTCCTCCTCCTTCTGTGGGTCCCTCTTGTATTCCAGAAACAATTCATAGTTATTGTTTTGACCTAGAAAATGCTCTCAAAAGCTTAGGCTTAACAGAAGTCACCTTCTCCCAATAGACCTATTATGATCTCTAATGAAGATGTCCCTTATCTTTTGCGCCAGGTTCAAACAACATCGGTTCTCAGTGGTGCCCAGAAATGGAACACCCTTCCCATGGAAAGCCAATGATCTAAGGAGGAATATTGTCTTGTTTGGACTTTAGGGCTCTGCAGTCCCATAGCTAGAACTTTTTTGGTAGGGGTGCAAATTTTTTGGTAGGGGTGCAAATGGAGAGCAGCCCGTTATGTGTCTGTACAGAACTGCCATGCTTATATTTCTAAATAATTGTCAAGTGGTATATCACACTAAAATGTTTCAGGTTTATTACAAATATATTTACATGTAGAACATATTGAAAATGCTTAACAAGTAACAGACAGCACACATATTCATCATCACACCTTCTCCATTTCACCAGTTCGCTTTTACAAATCTCAGTGAGTGAAGCAGAATATGAATAAATTTAAATACATTTCCTAGACACACAGCTCAGTGAGACAAGCTGACCACAAATAAACCAGTAGCTCTACATAGTTCAGTGAGACAAATGGACCATAAATGTCAAATAATGACTAAAACCAGCCATAGATTCTCTAACTGCTGGATTATCTTAAACAGAGACAAGCTGAGTAAGTAAGAATAGCCTACTCAGACCGGAGGCATCCATAGACCACAGTGGGTGCTGGAAATATAGAACCAAGGCAATATTACCAAGGACTAACTTGTCAACAAATATTGACAGGCACAATGCCCAATGTACCAACCCAGCTGCAAACAACTGATCTCAGACCACAGTGGATGCTGGAAATATAGAACCAAGGCAATGTTACCAAGGACTAATTTGCCAGCAAATATTGACAGGCACAATGCCCAGTGTACCAACCCAGCTGCAAACAACTGATCTTGCAGAGTGAGTCAGAATTGTCTACTTAGGCTGTCAGTGGCTCTTCAGGGTCTTACTAACTACTAAACAAACCAAAACAAATGATCTTAAACAAAGACAAGCAGTGTTATATTGGACACAGGAAAACACACAAAGCTGCCTTATACTGAATCAGTCCCTTGGTCCATCAAAGTCAGTATTGTCTACTAAGACTAGCAGCAGCTCTCCAGGGTCTCAGGGATTGAACCTGGGAGGGACTTTCTGCATGCCAAGCAGATGCTCTGTTCATTGCAAAGGTAAAGGTTCCCTTACTCAAAAGCCAGTCGAATCCGACTCTAGGGTTGCGGTGCTCATCTCCCTTTCAAAGCCGGAGAGCCAGCGCTGTCCGAAGACGTTTCCGTGGTCATGTGGCCGGCATGACTAAACACCAAGGCACATGGAACACTGTTACCTTCCCACTGAAGTAGTACCTATTTATCTACTTGCAGTTTCTTGCTTTCAAACTGCTGGGTTGGCAGGAGCTGGAACTAGAGACGGGAGCTCACTCCGTCATGCGGCACACTCGGGTTGCGAACTGCTGAACTACCGACTTTCCACAGCCTGCAGTTCAGCGTCTTAACCACTTGAGCCATCGCAGAACCTCTGTCCATTGAGGGGACCGTAAATTGTTTTATTTCTTTAACTTCAACTTAACAGTTATGATATATATAAAAAAACTTTAAACTCACCCCCCAACAGGAAAGAGAACTGGAGACCTTGGTCCATGACTGGGTGGGCTGGGCACTTACTGACAGATGGTCTTTTTCGGTTCAGCTTTTGGTAGGGAGGTGTCTGCACCCCTCCCCACCCCCGCTGGCAGCCCCTGCAATGGAAAGCAGCAGGCCCATGAAGGCTCGCCGGCTGCCACACCACAGCTGATCTAGATTAGCCTGCAGAGCTGATCCAGTGGAGCCGAGCCAGCGGGGGGGGGGGGGATCCCGAGGAGAAGGTGCACTGTGTGTGTGCAGTGCCTGACCTGATTGGGAAAGCCAAGTGGACTCTGGACTGAAGACTGGAGCCAAGCTGAGGAGAGCAACAAGGAGGAGCCACTGACCAGATCTAAAAGAAGCAGCTGAGGCAAGGATTCCCAGGGAAAGCACGCTACTGGAGCAGTGCGCTTTAAATAGAGTTGGGCAGGGTCAGCCCAGCAAAACTTCCCAGGGTTCCCTGGGCTGGCCGGCCCCAGGATGACATTAGAGGCTGGCCAGTGTGATGGCCTGAGGCTCCCGCCGTTCCAACTATATATAGGTGATGACTATGTAGGAAGGCCTCCTCCTGACCCCTCCTGATCCAGCTGATTGGGGAGGGGAAATTGGGGAGGGGGTGTCACCCTTGTGGGGCCCCCATGGCTATAAACTTGGGGCTTGGATTTAAGCTCAGAGTAGAGTTGTCAACTCCAAGTTGGGAAAATCCTGGAGATTTGGGGGTGGAGCCTGGGGATGGTGGGATTTGGATAGGGGAGGGACCTTAGCAGAGTATAATGCCATAAAGCCCACCCTCCAAAGCAAATGTTTTCTCCAGAGGGACTGATATCTGAAATCTGGAGAGTAATTCTGGGAGATTTCAAGGCCCCCATGTTGGCTGGCAACCCTAGCTGTAAGAGAAGCATCTATATATTTAATAGGTGCCCCCTGTGTGCGGATATCTAAATCCGCACGTCAGAGGCACCTAGGGGACAAAGAGATTTTCCTGCACATTTGGGGCAATCTCCAGATGTGCAGAAAAATTTAAGAAGTTGAAAAAAGTATACAGGGATATTTAAACCCCCCAATAAGTACAAGAGCGTTCCCTGTGCATCCACAGAAAATGCCCTGGCAACTGTCCCGCTACCGCCGCTGGGGTGGGGGCGGGAGAAGGCTTGGCGGGCCGGTGGCTGTGAGCCACTCAGGTCTCGCCACCACCGGGGGGGGGAGGGGAAGGAGAAGGCTTGGTGGGCCGAGCTCAGGCCTCGGTGCCGGGGGGGGAGGAAGAAGACTTGGTGGGCATGGGAGCTACGAGCACAACAGGCCTTTCTCCTCCATGTGGCGCTCTCCCCGTGAATATTGCGGGTTCCTCTTCCTGTGGAATTCTAATGGCATTTTAGTGTTGGGATTTGATGCCATAGAGTTCACCCTCTCAAGCTGCCATTTTCTCCAGCGGAATTGATCTCCGGAGTCTGTACAGCAATTGTAATTCCAGAGGAACTCCAGCACCTGCCTGGAGGTTGGCAACTAATATTAGTTCCCTCTGATGTGGGGAATGTTGTAGCGAATTCATACTGAAGAGGAGTCCTGGTCATTGTCATTTCTGTCTTGAGAGAATCCGTGGTAAGCAGCAAAACTCATAAACAGCAGTATCTAGAAGCAACAGATGGTATGGAATCTCTTGGCTGGGATTGGCCAAAGGGACCATATTACTCCAGTTTTGTTCCATCTGACTTGCTTCCAATATGCTCCTGGGCTCAATTCTAGGTGCTGGTATTGATTTTTAAAGTTTTGTATGGCCTGGGACAAACATAGACTAAGGGCTACCTTTCCCCATATGAACCTATCTGTACACTGCAGCCCTCTTCGGAGGCCCTGCTTTGGTTGCCCCTGTTATCTGAGGCTGGATGCGTGGCAGTCTGAGAAAAGGCTTTCTTGGTCATGGCACCAAAACTTTGGAACTCTCTCCCCAGGGAGATTCATCTGTCTCCCTCTATTGGTGTCTTCTGCCAGCAGGTGAATACTCTTTTTTCCTATTTCGCATACTCCCGATACCTGGGTCACTGGCCCTCCTCCCCTGTTCTGGTGTTGTTTGTTTAAGTATTTTTATTGAATTGTTTTATCATTTTAAATGTTTTTTCAATGTTTTTATGTTTGCCACCTTGGGGACCCTGATCAGGTGGAAAGGTGGCAGAAACATTTTTAAAATAAAGAAATCTAGGTAGCTTTGTCATACCCTTCCCTGGGTCTATGTGTGTTTACATGCTTGTAGCGTGTTTGTGTCCATGTAAAGTGTGTTCTTCTTCTTCATGACACCACCCAGAGTTAAAATCCAGCATTCCCCATTACCAGGGACCTGGGGGACACTAGTAAAGGCTGTCTCTGAGCATGTGCAAAAGGCAGAAATGTCCAATTATTCCAGCCCTTCCTCTGGCCGTGTGATTTTAACATGAGCAAGTGGCTGAGGCATTCAACGAGGAGTTGAATCACAGTCTGCCTTGCTCTCTTAAACAGGAAAGTTTTTATTGCTACAGATTAAGTTAGAGCACAAGACAGGAAAATAACTGTCATGCCTTCTGGTTACAGATCTAAGGAAAAGAACAGAAAAACATAACACTAAGCTAAATTTAACAATACAGAAGATTCATCTCTCACATCTCCCCAAGATGTCCACGGAGCAAATGCAAATCCTGACTGCTCCATGCCGAGGAATCTGAGCGTTTTGAACAATGTTACTCAATGTTTCCAACCTTTGAACTCTTCCTGTGCTAGCTGGTGGGAAGCCTCCTACCCAAACCAGATTTAGGGAACTTGCCCCCCACACATGGAAAGGTGAACCCCGATCTCCCAATCAACCAAGGGTGTACATTCCACACATCTCAATACCCAGATCATGTTTTACAATAGCCAACCATCTTGCCCTTCCTGGCAAGTAAAGCAGATGGTTATCTCTTTGCAGAAACACACCTCTTGGTGCATTTTAAGGCTGTCTTATCTGGGAACACAAGCAGCTATCAGGACCCCAGATGAGCTTCAAAGCACCTTACATTTCTAGATTCACTACATGGTATAGCTGAGCATTTCGTCATCTGGGACTCTGCAACTTAGACCATGACCCTTATGCCCTGAAGCTGGGACATGGCCTAGTGAGCCAGTTAGTATGATGAGTATTGAGGCCACAGAGTCTTTTTCAGGAAGAGAAGGGGATTGGTCTGCCACTCACTGAGGCCAGTGTGGAGCCTTTCAATTGCCTAGGTCAGGGGTGTCAAACTCATTTGTTATGGGGGCCGGATCTGACATAAATGAGACCTTGTTGGGCCAGGCCATGCGTGTCATAAAATGTAATGCCAGGTAGCAGAGATATAAACTTTATAAAGGACACAAACACAAAGGTGTTTTTTTTACTTAAAATAAAAACATGCTTAAAACATTAGCACTCTCTCAATTTTTGTTTATCTAACCATGTCTGATAACTGACGCCGCTTGCTCTGAAATATTGCATCAAAATGTCTGTGCTGTTGCAATCCTGAGTATGCTGTTCAGGTGTGTATCTGTAAACTGCAAACCTACAATGACGCAGCAGCAGCAGAACTGGAAGAAGAAGCAAAAGACAGCCAGTTCCACTGCGGGCCTGATAGAAGCCCTCCAGGGGCCTGATCCGGCCCCGGGCCGCATGTTTGACACCGCCGGTCTAGGTCATGTACAAATAACAGGAACCTGACCTGACTACATACAGTCAACAGAGGAGCACCTTCTTTCTGCTGTTCTCCATAAATCAAATGATGCTAGAGAATGTGGGATAGAGAGAGTAGCATTCAGATCTGACCACCAGCTCTTGCTTGTCCTTCACAGCTCCCATCATTCTGCCCCTATTCCTCCAAAAGGGAAAAAAATATGTCCAAATGGAACCAATTAGAGCAAATTATTCTTTTATAATTTTGTTTATCTTTTGTTGTAGACCTTGGTGCAGAAACTAGTTCTATGTTCATGCTACTCTTCACGAGGCTTAAGCAATTTATTGTCTTGATTTCAGGAGGATCCCTATGACACAGTTTGAGATCATCTGCCCTAAATAACAGAAGGCCATTTAAATGTTACTGCTTCTTTACTCTTTTGGCTGGGGTATAAAAAATGGATATCAATACAACCAAAGTACTTATTTTAGCCTGCCCTTGCCGGGTATGTCAATATCTTCTCTAACTATACGGAAATAACATGGCTTCCTTCTGGAGAAATCAGTACAGGGAGGAACTCCTTGGGGGGAAATCTATCTTTGTATCCAATTTCTACTTTTTTGTGTGAAGAAACAGAAGGATTCCTTGCTGGTTTACCCTGATGGTATAAAGACAGGACTCAACCTTATGCCTGCATACTGGTCCTCAGGGGTCCTCAGAGGTGGCAAATGGATATCTGCCCTGAAGCTGAGAATGAAGCAAGGACAGCTCCCTGGATAAAGTCAGAAAAGAAATGTCCAAGACAACCTTCAAAACATAAATATATAGTCCTGCTCCAGTCTCAGTTAATGGACAAGTCTGGCAGTGAGCAAACAGGACCCAGGATACTCAAGATACAAGTCAACAATTGCCCCTTTTGTAGGTTTGCAAGGTCACAATTCTTGACTAGTGCACATGCTTCGCAGGATCAGATGACTATTCTCATTATTCCCATTAAAATGTTTCTGTGACAAATGTTGATTTCACTAGTTCTCCCCCTCCCCAGATAATAAAAGTGAACAGTTCTTGAAAAATCCTCATCCTAGTAAAAACAACAATCAATCTTTCAGTTCATTAGTTGTTGTAGATTTTCCAGGTTGTGTGGCTGTGGTCTTGGCATTGTAGGACCTGACGTTTCGCCAGCATCTGTGACTGGCATCCTCAGAGGTATAACACAGAAAGATGGAGTACTCTCTGTGTCAAGGTGAGAAGAAAAATGGTAGGCAGGTAATTTAGATCTACAAAGGAAGGTGGGGTAGGGCTGAATCATTATCTTGTAGGAGTTCCCCGGGCTGTGACATGCTAATGGAGGACCTTTCCTGAGGAGGTTCTTTTGCATATGGATTGGCTGTTAAAATTCTAATCTCATCAGTAGTGCTATTGTAAGAGATAGAGCATTTTATGTTTTTCAGGACAGGAAACCAGGCCCTATTTATTTTTAAACTCTCTTCTTTCCTGTTGAAATTGTGTTTATGTTTATGAATTTCTATGGCTTCCCTGTGTAATCTGACATGGTAATTGGTTTCATGGTAATTCAGTTCCATGAAAACTAACCGTTTTATTGTGGCATAAACTTTTGAAGTTTTTTGTGAGATGCATG